GTGAATTTAATGTCTTGTTTGAGCAGCTGAAGCAAGAGGTGCGGTTTTGTTAGGTGGTTATGCTGGTTTAGGAAGATGTTACTCCCTGAGGAACCCCTCTCATCGCTGCCGGTGATGAGCAGTTTCTTCCCAGGTGCTTACTCGGGAAAGTCTCATAGACGACTGTGGATACATTACGAAGCTTTTCTGGTCAAATCCATTTTCAGCAGTTAATCTGTGTACTGGGGAAGAAGTAGCCCAGGACATGGAGGAACATACAATTGATTTCCACTCAGCTAACACAAGAACTTGGAGCTGGGTCCGTTCGGGGACCTGCACATTAGATTACTTTCAGAATTGTCACATAGCCGTGATCAGTGACAACAAACGAACCATTGAATAGCCCTGCCGGTTGGGCTCAGTGGTTGGAGCGTCAGCCTGCGGGCCAGAGAGTCCTGGGTTCGGTTCCCGCTAAGGGCACATACCCCCCCCCCAAAAAAAAACATTGATAAATAATTGTGCAAATAGATGTACACATACACAGGTAAAAGCTTGTGACCCTGAAACACACACTGTTTCTTCTGTTCTGCAGTCTAATGTAACATTGTAGCAGAATATGCTCTGTAACAAAATGACAGGAGATCTTGTCTTCAGAGATGGGGAAGGTCTTTAAAACAGTGTACCCTGTGCTGCAGCGCACAGTCTGGTGAGAGTATAAAGCCACCGAGCTCTGATCAGATGTCAGCTGTTACCTCGGTGCTGGTGGCCGCTGTTCCTCCTCCTCTGTGACCTTGACCTTGTGTGGTGTCTGTGTGTCAAACCCATTTTAGGCGGGGGGGGGCACAGTTGGGTTTACTTGGATGTATACCCCAATCTCACAGGAAGTGTGTGTGTGTGTGTGTGTTGCTGAATTCCAGGAAGAATAAAAAAGAGTACCACGTTCCAGTATAGTTCGTATTTTGAGAGAGAGTGGAGAAATTATGCTTTTGAAGAGCTTCTGTTCATTTTATATGTAAACCATTTTGTTCCACTTTTATGTGCTGCCAAAGTCATCTGTTAATTATTATGTGTTTCTTCAGAGAAGCTTGTGTGTCTCCGAGGACAGGAGAGAGCAGGGAACAGGAAAAGATCATCGTTGGTCACGGCTATTCTGCACCTTTTTGATAACTTATCTTTCTGGTTAAAACCCATGTCATTTTTAAAAAATTATCTTTATTGTTTAAAGTATTACAGATATCCCCCTTTTTATGCCCCCTTCCCTCAACACACACACCTTCGCCACACTGTTGTCTGTGTTTGGTTGTACATCTGCAAGCAAGTTCTTTGGTTCTGTCTTCCCTCTGAGGTTCGTCATTCTGTTCCCTATATCCATGTCTCTGGATCTATTTTGTTCATCAGCTTATTTTGTTCATTATATTCCACAAATAACTGCGATCATGTGGCATTTGTCTTTCTCTGATTGGCTTATTTTGCTCAGCATAATTCTCTCCAGGTCCTTCCATGTCGTCTCAAAGGATAAGAGATCTTTCTTTCTAACCGCTGCGTAGTATTCCATTGTGTACATGTACCACAGCTTTTTTATCCATTCGTCTACTGATGGACACTTGGGCTGTTTCCAGATCTTAGCTATTGTGAATAGTACTGCTATGAGCATAGGGGTACATATATTCTTTCTGATTGGGGTTTCAGGCTTCTTAGGGTATATTCCTAGAAGTGGGATCACTGGGTCAAATGGCAGTTCCATTTTTAATTTTGTGGAGAAACTCCACACTGTTTTCCATACTGCACCAGTCTGCGTTCCCACCACCAGTGCACTAGGGTCCCCTTTTCCCCACCTCCTCAAAACCCATGTCATTTTCATCAACTACGTTTTGACCAATTACTTGGAATCTTAGCAATACAATTTTGGAGTTGACGAGGTCCTCAGACCCGTATGTCTTTGTGCTCAACACCTGAGTCACTCAAGCCCCAGTGTGTCCTATGAGTCCCTTTATTTATTTATTATTTAATATTTTTCCTTTATTGATTCCCAGAGGGAGAAGAAGGGAGAAGGAGAGATAGAAACATCAGTGAGAGAGAACATCGATGGGCCGCCTCCTGCACGCCCCGCCCCACCCTCAGTGAGTCTCTTTTAATAGCAAAGTGAGTGACAGTATTTTACACCTGTGGGAACAGTTGACAGGAAATCAAAACCGATGGACCTGGATGATAGGAGCAAACTTGGCCGTGGGCAGAAATGTGGAAGCCCCTCGGGGTGCAGTGTAGAGTGGCCGGGCAGCCCCTGGGCTCCCTGCGGGGTCACTAGTTCTGTTACTGATCCCCAAGGATGGGAGCCTCCGGGGAGGGCGACAGGCTCACGCTGCCTCATCGCAGATGCTGAGACCTCGCTTTCCTGCACCCATCAAATCCTACAAGCACGAGCCTCTGTTTGGATCGCGATAATACTGCGGAGGAGGCTGTTATCTTGGTATTCAAATTGCATCAAAGGGCATATAATAATTTTGGTTCCTTTTTCATCGAGAAGACAGATGTTATCTGATAGCTGGCACATCAGCCAGCTTCTCTCCTGGGCCGCCACTGAGCGGGACTTGTATTCTTCTTCGTGTTTTTTCCAGAAATAAACTTTTAGTTTATTAAGAGGATTCACTGTAGTATTTTCCAGAACCCTTCTCTGAAATGTGACTTTTTCTTTCTTGTTCTAGGAAATGAAGTATTGGGGTTCCTATAACTTAACTCTTCTTTGGTCCTTGCCATGGAAAGGGAACCGTACCCATTTGCATGATGATGAGTGTTGTATCCTCTTGATAAATTGCTCTTGGGTCTCAGTTTTCTGTTCACCTATAAAACTTGGTCCAAAAGGCTCACCTGGGAGAAGACCATGAGGTCTCTCAGCCCTTTCTCTGCATTGGCATTGCTTAAACAAAAAGATCAATAAGTAGGACTTTGTACTAAGATACATTTCTTCGAACCCTTAATAAAAACACCTTAATGTTCTTCTTAATCCCTTGTATCAAAAGCACCCTCTGAATAATCCCCAGTGGGATTTAGATACTGGTGTACAACAGGACTCATTCTTGAGTGCCACAGTCAAGTGGCTTTGCCATTACTTCTGCATTTTGAGGAACCCAAACCAGGAACCCCAAGAATCATTACAGCAGCACGGCAGGAAGGCCTTGACAGCCACGCTCGTGTGGGGGTGCTCGGGAATTTACAAGAGAGGGGAGTCGATTTCATGGAAACCTGACAAGATGGGCTGGTATTTAGTAGACATGACTTAAATAGCCTAGAGAGTGGCCTCCTAGCAGGTGTTTTAGCGGGGGGTGTGACTGCAGGTAAGGCGCGGAATCCTGTCCTGAAAAATGGCTGGAGAAACTCCTTTCTCATTCCTCGTCTCTCAGCCCAAAGCAGTCGGACATGAGAGGCCTGTTAGGTCCATTCTTCATGTCCCCACTGAAGTCCTACGTGGACCTCCCCATTTTAGAAAGTGTTTAAACATCCAGCAAACTTCCCCTTGGCTGAATAATCCATTTCCTGGAAAGTACAACATGCATTGGGTGGAAGTAACTGCCCTGCTCTCCTGGGGTTATTTACTCCAACAACAAGTTCAACTGCAACATAATTTCATATTTTTTAAGTATTTTTGAGACACCAAAATGTGGCTTTTTGAAAGCTGCACAACCAATTCAAACATGTACTATAGCTACTTCATGAAACTAGTCCTTGTATTGAAAGTGGACTTTCCCCCAATCTGTCCGTGTATATGGTCAAGATTATGAGATTCTTTTATAGGTCACTTTGATTTTTATTAATTTAAAAATAATTCTGCCTTGCCATTACAGTAATTATTTTCACGGCATGCTAGTGGGCCAGTAAAATATCAATTTTCTAAAATTTAAGAAGTATTTCTTCTTTTAATTCTCACCTGAGGATATTTTTCTGTTTTTCTTCAGATACAGTGGGAGGGAGGGAGGGGGAGAAAGAGAAACATCGATGTGAGAGGGACACGTCGACTGGTTGACTGCCACACAAACTGACCAGGGCGGGGGACGAACCACAACTGGAGACGTGCCCTTGACCAGAATAGAACCCGACACTCATTGGTCCGTGGGCCGATGCTCTAACTGCTAAGCCAAACCAGCCAGGGCAAGAAGTATTTTTATATTTATAAACAATTTTACATAAAAGGAAGATTAGTTTGTAATTTTAACACTGTACAGTAGTCGAACATGAATTTTATTAAATTGCCCTGAAATGCATTAACCCTTGGTATTCTGTCTGGGACCTGTGGACCCAGTTTAGTTTCCCTTTTTAAAAAAAATATTTTTAACTAGTAGGAAGAACTATATCACATGACCTGCTATTATCATACATGTCTGTTGAAACCTATAAATGGAAGATACATTATGGAATCAGTGATCTTACTATTCCTATATCATTAAGCATTTTGCCATGTTATCTTGGGAATTAATTCATCTAGCCCTGGCCGGTTTGGCTCAGCGGTTAGAGCGTCAGCCTGCGGACCCGAGAGTCCCGGTTCGGTTCCCGCTAAGAGCACGAACCTCGGTTGCAGTTTGTCCCTGGCCCTGGTTGGGGTCCTGTGCGTGGCGACCAGTTGATGTGTCCCTCTCACATCGATGTTTCTCTCTCTCTCTTCCTCCCTCTCTCCCTCCCGCTCTACCTGAAGATAAATGCAAAAATGTCCTTGAATGAGGATTTAAAAAAAAATAAAAGTGACTATAATGCTTATTTGTGTATATTATCTATGTATATATACATAAGACTACAAGTCCTATTGTTTTCTTTACAGGGGTCTTGGGCCATTCTAGTTTGCACCCCCCTAACTGTTCCCCATGCTTGCTTTTCTAGGACGCTGACGCTGCATTTAAGGCGGAACCGAGAGGTGCAGGGCGCATCCGGACACCACTGAGGACCCCACCGCTCCTGCTGCAGCCCTGAGCTGAGTTCTGTTGCTCCGGGCCTCGGCGTCGCCTGCCCCTCCCTGTCCTCGCCCGAAGCAGCCCGTCATGTGGCGGTCGCGGCCCAGCACGATGGCAGGCGGTCGGCTGCTCCCTCACTGACGCTCGCCCCGCCACCCCGCTCCTCCAGGTGACCAGCAGCCCAGCCCCCGCGAACACTGCTCTTGAACATGACTCATGGGGAAGAGCTGGTCTCCGACGTGCCCCAGGATTCTATCGTTCTAACTGACCTCGAAGGGTCCCTCATGCAGCAGGCGGCCGAGGGCGCGGGCACCGGCGTGGACAGGGAGGCCGCGGCGCGCGATGCCGAGGCCCGCAGCGGGCACGTGTCGCGCGCGCTCCCGGCCTGCGTGGGCGGCCCCGGCCCCGGCGTGCTGCACCTGCGCAAAGCCCGGCTGCTGCAGTCCGCGGAGGACTGGGACGCGGCCAAGCGCCGGCGGCTGTCGGACTCCCTCGTGAACCTGAACGCGAAGAAGGAGGCGCTGCTGGCCGGCGTGGTGGACGGCGTGCCCAAAGGCAAACAGGACAGCACGCTGCTGGCCTCCTTGCTGCAGTCGTTCAGCTCCCGGCTGCAGACCGTGGCGCTGTCGCAGCAGATCCGGCAGAGCCTCAAGGAGCAGGGCTACGCCCTCAGCCACGAGGCTCTCAAAGTGGAGAGGGATTTACGGTGCTACGGGGTCGCCTCGAGTCACTTGAAAACGCTCTTGAAGAAGAGCAGAGCGAAAGATCAAAAGCCCGACGCCAGTCTTCCCGACGCCACTAACCACCTCATCCGGGAGAGGTTCGCGGAGTCCCCGCACCCGATGGGACAGGGGGCGGCGACGAAGGTCATGAGCGAGCCCTTGTCCTGCGCGGCGCGGCTGCAGGCTGTGGCGAGCATGGTGGAGAAGAGGACCAGCCCGGCCACGTCCCCCAAGCCCAGCGTCGCCTGCAGCCAGCTGGCCTTGCTCCTCTCCAGCGAAGCGCACCTGCAGCAGTATTCTCGGGAACACGCCTTGAAAGCGCAGAGCGCGAACCAGGTGGCGAGCGAACGGCTGGCCGCCATGGCCCGGTTACAGGAGAACGGCCACAAGGAGGTGGGCGGGTTCCCGCTCCCCAAAGGGATGGCGGGCCACCTGAATGGCCAGGCCAGAACGTCCTCCAGCAAGCTGGTGGCGGGCAAAAGTGCCCCGTTTCCCAGCCCCATGGGCATCGTCCCCTCTTCCCCCAAAAACGCAGGCTGCAAGAATTCGCAGGAGAGAAACAGCATCAAACAAGCCGCGAGTAACAGCTTGCTCCTGCATCTTCTCAAAAGCCAGACCATCCCTACGCCTCTGAACGGCCACAGTCACAGCGAGCGAGGAAGCGGGTTCGGGGACAGCGGCACCCCCACAACCATCGACGAATACTCGGATCACAACCCCAGTTTCACGGACGACAGCAGCGGCGACGAAAGCACGTGCTCCGACTGTGTGCCCATAGACTTGTCCTGCAAGCACAGGATGGACAAGGCCGAGCCCGACCCCCCCGTGTCCCTGGAGAACTTGACGCAGTCCCTGCTGAACACTTGGGACCCCAAAGTCCCCGGCATGGACATCAGGGACGATCAAGATACCTCAAAGAACGCGAAGCTGAATTCCCACCAGAAGGTGACGCTGCTTCAGCTGCTCCTGGGCCATAAGAGTGAGGACGGCCTGGAGCGAAGCAGCCCCCAGGAGGCGCAGAGCGACGGGAGGAAGTTCAGCGGGCAGACCTGCGCCAGGACGTCGGTGATCGAGAGCCCGGGCGCGCACAGGGCCACGCCGGGGAGCTCGCCGCCCTTGCTGGCGTCCTCCAAGGCCGAGTCCCCCATCAACCTGTCCCAGCATTCCCTGGTCATCAGGTGGAGCTCCCCGCCCTACGCCTGCGCCACTCAGCCTGAAAAGCCGCCGAACCCCACCCCGAGCCACCTGATGGATCTTACCAAAAGCAGAGAGGCGCCGCCCGGGGAGAACCCGGTCCAGAATGAAGACGCGCAGAACCCGGCGACCTTCAGCGCCAGCAAACTGCTGCAGAACCTGGCCCAGTGCGGCCTGCAGGCCTCCGGCGGCGACGAGCGGCGGCCCGGCGCCCAGCTCTGCCTGAGCGCGGGGGTGGCCGACAGGCTGAGCAGCCCGCTGCGCTCCGGCCGCACCGCCGCCCTGGAAGAGAGCAAGGCCTTGGGCAGTCCGGCCGCGGGCTGCGAGCCCAGGCTTTCAGGTTCGGAAATCGAAAATCTGCTGGAACGACGCACGGTGCTCCAGCTGCTCCTGGGGAACCCCAACAAAGGAAAGAGCGACCCCAAGGAGAAGGCGCCCGTGCGCGACGAGAGCGCTCAGGAACCTGCCGACCGCGCTCTGGGCGAACAGGTCCTGATGGTGAAAATCAAGGCGGAGCCCTGCGAGGACCTGCAGGAGGCGAGCGCGCACCTGAGCCCCGAGGCGGAGCGCGCCCCCTTCCCGGGTGCGGCGCCCCCGGCGGCGGCGCAGAGAAGTGCGGCCGCCTTGCCAGGTCCCGGGGACTTCAAGGCGGAGCCCGCGTCCCCTCAGGACTTCTCCTTCTCCAAGAACGGCCTGCTGAGCCGGCTGCTGAGGCAGAACCAGGACAGTTACCTGCCCGACGAGCTCGGACTCGACAGCAGCCCGCGGGGCGGCGAGCTGGCGCTGCTGGAGTCCAAGAACCTCTGCGTGGTCCCCAAGAAAAGGAAGCTTTACCCCGAGCCCTTGGAAAACCCGTTTAAAAGGATGAGAAACCACGCCGCCGAGGCTGCCCACAGTCACGGCGCCCCGGACGCGCTCCACGGGCCCCTGATGAGCCAGCCAGAGCTGAAATTCAGCAGGAGCGACCTGGAGTTCAAACACCCTTCGGGCCTCGGCGCGCCCGGCGAGAGCGAGCACCGCAGCTGGGCCAGAGAGAGCAAGAGCTTCAACGTCCTGAAGCAGCTGCTGCTGTCGGAAAACTGCCTGAAGGACCTGTCCCAGCACAGGAGCAGCTCCGCCGTCGAGGCGCGAAAGAAGGGGCACAGACACGGAAGCGGTAGCAAACCCGACTTCAGCGTGTCTTCTTTAAACGGGCTGATGTACGGTTCTGCCCAGCCGGGCGGCTGCATGGATAACAGGACATTTCCGTACCCCGGAGCAGGAAAGACTCCTGGGAGCCCCCCTTTTCCTGAGCCCGTGGGCTGTGGGGGGTCTAGACCGGAGTCGGGGCGTTTGAATGGGTGTTCCCTGCCCGGTGACAAGGGGCCCATTAAGTGGGTCATCGCAGACGTGGACAAGAACGAGTATGAGAAGGACTCCCCGAGACTGACCAAAACCAACCCGATACTGTATTACATGCTCCAGAAAGGGGGCAGCTCTGTCACCCGGCGGGAAGCACAGGACAGGGATGTGTGGAGGGGGCCGGCGGCTGAGCATGTCTCTCAGGTCACCGTCAAAGAGGAGCTACTGCCCCCCGCGGACACACCAGCCGCCTTCTTCCCCCTGAGGAGCCCGTACAGCAGCCATCTGGGGGGCCGCGCCTCCTGCTCCCCCAGCGCCAACGGAGACGTGTGCGGGCCTCTGGGCAATGTGCTGACGATAAAAAAAGAGTCAGAATGAAACGCACCTGCCTTGCAGCTCGTCGCTTCCCCCCAGGACTTCGTACGGACCTGAGATCTGTATCCATAAGAGCATGAGTTGAGCAACGCATGGTGTACTTGACACTTTTCTTTCATTGGGGGGCGTCTGGGTTCCTGGTGACGTTTCCGCGCGCACCCCGCTTTGTGCCCTCCGTCCGAGTTCACGAGGAAACCCCGAACGGGCAGTGGGTTGTGTGTTCTGTGTGCGTCAGGCGGCAACTGTGAGTAGCCTGGGCATGAGTGTCTCGGTCCCCAGATGCTAGGCAGCCATTGAAACGCACATCTCCATCCACCTGGATACATGCGCTTTGCTGTCTGTGTGAGGGTAGCTGGCTTTTCAGAAGGCAGCCAACCTAACGTTTTTTAAAAGTTCAAATTGTTCAGTGACTTTGAAGTTTAATTATTGAATAAAATACCTAGTGCCGATTCACTTTTCATGATCCAATTCAAAAATAAATTGGAAAAAAATGGGCTGACATTTTTCACTTTTGCTATAAAGAAAAAAAGAAAAACACACACAAAAAAAACACAAAACATTTATTTTTAACTCTTGGAAAGGGTTTTGTGGTTCCCAGTGTGTCTGCCCCACCCCAAACCTTTTCAATATCTATTTCTTTAAACCTTGTACTACTTAGTAAAAATTGATTACAATTGATGAAAGTTTGATAGATCCTTAAAAAAAAAAAAAAAATGGCAGATTTCCATTTTTGTATTTTACCTACTTTATTAAATCAGTATTCCTTCTTTTACAGAATTAGGGAAGTTAACATTTTTCTTCAGGTGGTTCCCTGAATAGCTGACTCTCTAAGATGTTGTTTTAAACAGAAGCGAAACGACTTTTCCTTTGGACAGTTTTCTCCATCTCTGGTAAAGGTTACGCCTCACCGTCACCGTGGTACCTTGAGTCTCACGCCCAGGGTTTCTTAAAGCTGAACTCAGACCACCTGCGTTAGAACCATCCGGAGTATTGTTTCAAAAGGCGTGGTCCTAGGTAGCACCTCAGATCTGCAGAACAAGAATCTGCTCAGTGGACCTGGGAGTCTTGATCTGAACACATGTGAGAAGAAACCCCTCGGACTTTCTTCCACACACTGACGTTTGAAAACCATTGCTTCTAACATTTCTCAGAACACAGGATTGTAAAAACAAAAAAACCTATTTGATGCCTATATTTTCCCTAGTAGTCACACATCAGCTAAATAGTTGCAGTATTGTAGTTCATAGATCACCGTTCTATCTTTGGAAATCAGGTTCAGAACACTTTTTATGACAAAAAAAACAAACAAAAAAAAACATTGGGTGGAGGGGACAACTTTCGTATCTGGCTCAACATCTCAGGAAAATCTGTGATTATTCATGTGTTCCAATGAGTAACATCTGTGTAATTAGCCTTAGGGATGGACTAACAGGGCCACTTACCAAAACTCAGGTGATTCTAGGATGGTTTCTCCTGAATACATCCTTCGATTAAAGTCATTGTCCGAAGAGGAATGTTGACAAAGGTGGAAACATTTCTTGTGAACCCGGGTAAGGCAGGAAACTCAGATCAGCTGAACAGTAGCGTTCAAAGGGCACACACATCCGTGACCGGGTAGACGCCCACAGGTCACTTCATTGAGCTATTTAAAGTGATACCGACACTGTCTTGGGGAATGTACACACTTTACTGACCCACCCGGGATTTGGATCAGGAAACAAGTCCGTGATTTTTAGGTTCAGTGTTTAGAAGTCACTCGCCAGGTATTTTTGTTCTGTTTCTCACTGTGAACAGGTTAGCTAACGGACCTGTCGAGAGATTGTTCTCTAATCGGCTGTTCATTCGAAGGAGATCTATCTGAAGCTGTTCTACTTGAAGTTGTTTCTAAGAGTTTTATATTAAAAATGGGCGTTATTTCCTAATATGATTTAAAAAAAAAAAAACAAAAAACCTACATGATTATGTTTTTCTCAAAATGATTTGTAAGTAGTTATAAAATGGTAGTCAGGTGTGAATAGGGTGCTCCATCATGGGGAGATGAAATCATGCGCTTGTTCCGAAATGAAAGTCCACTGGCCAGCGCACATACCCCGCCCATCGCATACTTACCGGTGACAGTCGCGTCAACATGCTACAAAGCAGCTTTCCAGCAAATCATTTTTTTTTTCCTGCCGTTATGAAATATCTGGAACCTTGGAGGCTAGAAAAAAAAATGGGCTTTTACAAGGGGCGTGAAATGTAGGTCAGGGAAAAGAACGTCAAGGGCCAGCATTACTAATGTTTTGTGTTTCTTTGGTTGGTTGGTTGTTTTCTGTTGTTAACAGTTAAAGGAAGGAGGATACGTGGTACATGCCTGAACATGACCACACAGAGTGCTCTTCTGCTGTAACTAAACACTGTCCCCGATTCGAGTGTAGGCCGTGAGGAAGGGCATCCATCCATCAATCCACTTTGTTTATGCATATGTAGATACAAGGGTACATACACACAGGCACGTGGTCAAGGACTATTAGCCATTGAGACAATTTCTTCCCAATGAGTCATTCGTGAAAGGGTACTACAGCTCTCACTGACATCAGTAAGGTAGCATTACCTGTTGCTTCTCTGCTGCATCTTACAGAGGAGTAAACCGGTAAGAGTATATATTTTATATATATATATATAATATGTATGTATATATATATACATATATACATATATAGACTTGTTACATGAAGATGTTAAAATCGGTTTTTAAAGGTGATGTACATAGTAATTTCCTTAATGAAAAAAAAAATACATATTTTGTATTGTTCTAATGCAGACAGAAAAGCCTTTTAATCTCTTTGGTTTCTGTATATGCCATGTATAAGTGTAAATATAATCAGACAGGTCTACAATCCGTGCATGTATGTGTACAGCTGCAAGTCCGGACAAATGTATAGAGTAACCCTTTTATTTAAGTCGTGATCCCTGTTGCATGAGAACTGCATGGGGACCCTGCGCAACTGTGCGTTTGGCGAAATGTCTTAAGTCCCATCGGATGTCCACCCCGACACGGCAGTAGTCCACTTCTGGACGCGACGTCTGTGGTTTCCGCTTTGTGAGAGAATGTGCTTCGAATCCAAGGGTCTTAAAACTTTTTAAAATCAACCACTTTTCAACACAGAGCTCACACAACTACTTTCATGAATTTTTTAATCCCCTTGGAAACAGAATCTTGTACCAGGAGTGTCCCAGTGCCCTGCAATACAGGCACAGCGCCGTCCGCGGTATGAATTCTGGGGTTTACACAACCGATTTTGATGCGATCTTCTCGCTATATCATTTGTCATTTTTATTAGACACTTAATTTCTTCATGTGATGTCATGGAACTGTACATACTGCAGTGTGAATTTTGTTTTGTTTTGTTTTGTTTTTTAATCTTTTAGTGTTTACTTCCTGCAGTGAATTTGAATAAATGAGGGGAAAAAATGCATTATCCCTGGTTTGAAATGACTGTTATTTTGTGGGTTTCCTTTGAATTTTGCTCTCCATAAACAGAAACGCCCGTGGTCATTCAAATGACAGTAAGTCTTCAAGGATGCTTTGCCCTTCTCGGGGAAAAAATAAAAAAAGGAACAAGAGAAGTAGGTGGCCTGTGACTTAGTGGCTGTAGAGACAGCAGTTGAAGCCCTAGGTAGCCTGAAGTCCGCCTAGACTTTCTTTTTTTTTATCCTCAGCCGAGAACATTTTTTTTGCATTACCTTCAGATAAAGCAAGAGGGAGAGAGAGAGAAACATCGATGTGAGAGAGACACACCAAGTGGCTGCCACCCACACGACCCCAACCGGGGCCGGGGACAGACTGCAACCGAGGTGCATGCCCTTAGCGGGAACCGAACCCACAACTCGATGGTCCGTGGGCCGATGCTCTAACCACTGAGCCAAACCAACCAGGGCTGAACACTGTAGAATTTTAAATTGGGAAAGTTTGTACAGAGTCCAAGGTATAGCTCATTTGATAGATACTTGTTTTAAGATAAGATTTTATTAGAAGGTTTTTATCCAAGCGCCCATGGGTATTAAGTTTATTTTAAATAAAAGAAGACCATTAGGCCCTGGCCAGATTGGCTCAGCAGTTAGAGCATTGGCCTGCGGACCAGAGAGTCCTGGGTTCGGTTCCTGCTAAGGGCACGTACCTTGATTGCAGTTTGTCCCCAGCCCTGGTTGGGGTCGTGTGGGTGGCAGCCACTCGATGTGTCTCACATCGATGTTTCTCTCTCTCTCTTCCTCCCTCTCTCCCTCCCGCTCTCTCTGAAGATGAATGCAACAATGTCCTCAGGTGATGATTTAAAAAAAGACCACTTAGCCATTTTTCAAAAATCAATGTGTATGTGCACACACACGTGTAAATACATACTGTGTGTGTCGGTGATCAGTACTTGAGCACGTTGAGTGATAGTCATATGTGAGAAATAATAGAGACAAAGCTGTTTTTTTTTAAAACTGTCTTTGTTAACTGATGGCCGAGGGATGTTTTCTTTTTACAAATAGATCATTAGTGATCATTTAGTTCAGGATGGAGGTGTCTTCCCGAAGATGCATTTCTGCTTTCTGGCGCTAACGTAGGCTTGTGGTTGTCCAACAGCAGAAATGTGCGGCCTCGGCCTGAACAGGTTTATAATACCGTCCAAACAGACCCGAGCAGCAGGGGTATGTCCAGCTTTCCCCCGTCGGGACAGCGTTGAAAAGCTGGACCCGGCTGTACATTGTGAACGCCATCATCAGAATCGGTTCTGCCGCCGCGCTTTGTTGGCTGATTTCTGTGGTTGAAAGGCATGAGGTCGACCAGTCGCACGGTGTTGAGAACCAGCAGGTAGTAACTGGACTGTGAGGGAGAGTGGTGACTTCAGCATGGAAGGTCTTGAACCATCAGTTCAGATTATGGTCACCCCCGCTCTGTAGAGTTGGATTTCAATTTTGTTCCCGTGCAAATCTCAGCAAAAATAATTTAGGAAGTTTTGTCCTGCCGCTGACATCACTAAACTGTGACTTGTTTGGTTACAGAAAATGGGTTTCACCCTGGCCGGTTTGGCTCAGCGGTTAGAGCATCCGCCTGCGGTCCGGAGAGACCCGGGTTCGGTTCCCGCTAAGGGCACGTACCTCGGTTGCAGTTTGTCCCCGGCCCTGGTCAGTCGTGCGGGTGGCAGCCACTCGATGTGTCCCTTTCACGTCGATGTTTCCCTCTCTCTTCCTCTCTCTCCCTCCCACTCTGTCTGTACAAAAAAAATGGAAAAATGTCCTCAGAGGAGGATTAAAAAAAGAAAAGAAAATGGGTTTCGAGTGTTTGCGATTAGCCATTCCGTTTTTCGTTTATTCCGTAAAACTTGGGGAAGGATCTTACGCGGGCACCTTACAGGGCTGGTTGGTGGAGGAATCTGTTGGCATCATTGAGCGTCGATGTACCGCTTGGTTTCGCTAAATGGTTGGTACAGTAATATTTACCACGTTTTAAAGATGCCATCTTCCTAAGTAAGTGAAAGACCCCTGCTCTGAAAATCCAGAATTACTGTTCTCTTTGGTGGGTAGAGACTCATTGGAAACACAATTTAAGTCCCATTAATTCCAGTTACGAGCAAGTGCACCTACCCTTTTTTTAAGTGTGTAAAAGTCAATGCATGACCCTTCCCAATGGCAACTCCCATCTCTGAGTAGCAGACCTGTGCGGCCGGAATGAAGAGGAATGTCAGGCCGTCCTGGACTTTCTGCAGCCCTTCTGTTGACCTAGACCTAGACAAGCTTCTATTTTCCCGCCTGGGCTCTCACCGGACTTCACGGGTAGGTTCTCTGATTTCGAGGAAGGCTGGCCATCCTTTTGGACTGTCCTGAGATCCCGTCTGGACAAGAACTGCCCTGGCATGGTGCGGGTGCATTAGCCTGGGTTTCCCAGAGCGACGCCCAGGGGACCTCAGGGTGGAGCCCACCTGCAGGTGCATTTTTCCGAGGGTGCGTTTTCCTTTTGCTCATTGACAAGTGATCCTCTAAGGCTGGAGCAGAGGGACGGTTTCCCCCCTAACCTGGACGGGGTGCCCTCGCAGGGCACCTCTGTGAGCGACCCCCGCGCCCACGGCGTGCCAGCGGGCCGTGCTGCGGTTCCGAGTTTGCCCTTTGACCTCTGGCCGTGCTGCGTTTTCTCACTTTCATTCAGCTCATCGTCCCCCCATCGGACCCCTCCCTGTCAGTCACCACCCATCACTCCGTGCTCACACCTTGGGTTCCCTGGGCACATCCAGCCTGGCATCGACGCCTTCAGTGACGTTGCTGGCTGCCTACCCCTCCCTCCTTGGCCCTCTCTTCAGGGTGAACGTCTCTCGTTGCTTTTACATTGTTAACAAAGGTCGCGTCCTCAAAGCCACCCGCCCGGTGTGATTTCTCCAGGCAAAGTGCTGGCCAGCCCCCCGCCGTCCCTCGATGCCTTTGTAGACCTCCCGCATCACTTATGGGAGGGCTGACGGACTTCGTGTTCCTTTCAAAGGCAAGGGGTGTGTGTGTGTGTGTGTGTGTGTGCGTGCGCGTGCACACGCTTCATCTTACAATCCTTACGGAGTCCCAGTCCTGCTACACACGAGTTACTTAATGAACGCATGCCCAGTCAGAATGCGAGGAGACCTCGGGCCCCACACGGACAAAGGACCCTGCCTTTTTCTCCGGCCTCGCAAGCCAACGAAGTGATGGCCAGGACGGGCGCCCCCTGCCCCGGAGCAGGGCCCAGCCTCCCGCCACCCTAAGGTTCAGGATCTCTGGGCCCCAGACGTTCGTCCCCGTCTGATCTGCGTACGTGCCATCTGCCGGGAGTCCTCAGAAGCGCTGGCTCTCGAAAGGAGAAGGGGACCATCAGGGATTTTGTCAGCAAAGGACTAGCCGCCTGTTGCGCCGCATCTTGTAGGCGGCAGGGGGCAGGGGGCGTGTTAGAAGCTTTGCGTTGGGCAGGGAGGCTGTCAGCTCTCCTGAGCTCTGCTGTGCTGAGCTGGGCCTGAGGCAGGAACGCATGGCCCTCCTGTCCTTGGGGAAGTCGTTCACCCCGAGGCTGCCGTCTGCTCGAACCCAGGCAGGACTGCTCTCCTGGTGAGCGTGGTACAGCTGACTCCTTGACGAGAACCTCAGCAGGGTGGGAGCTGGGATTAGCATTAGGCTGTTTCAGATCGAGGACATGGGGACCCCTGGGAACCAGGAACCCAGGGTCACACGTGAACTAGCCCACCAGCAGGAGCCTTCCGGCACCAGGAGGCTTTGAGGGCGGTGATGCAGCCATCAACCAAATCGGGTCCAGAGAGGAGACCGTGTGTGTCCCACTGAAGGAGGACCACCGGGAGGGAATGTGTGAGCCCGGCCGGTGTGGCTCAGTGGCTGAGCATCGACCCTGCACCAAGAGGTCGCCAGTTCGATTCCCGCTCAGGGCACATGCCCAGGTTGTGGGCCTGATCCCCAGTGGGGGGCGTGCAGGAGGCGGCCAGTTGATGTTCTCTCTCATGGATGTTTCTATCTCTCTCTCCTTCTCCCTTCCTCTCTCTAAAAATCAATAAAGAAAAATGAGTAAAGATGTGTGAAATTCACTTGAAAGACGCCCATCTCTCATGTATGTGGAACGGGGCCAGGAGATATTATATCCTTTTTATTCTGACATCAAGTTAATGTAACGAACATCACTCACAGTCGCATTCCATCCAGAAAGGCACATTTCCGGTTCCTGGTCCCCAAGAGAATTAAGGTCTTGGTTGCTATCGTGCTCTTCTGTGTCCAAAGGAAGAGAAAAGCCCAAATATAGAGCAAATTCAGGAGGAGGCTGGTTTCGGGGAGGAGGGACTAGTTCCTTCCCCAGCCAAGTGGGACTGATAAGCATGACTCATGGTTTCTGCCCAACATGTGGCCCCAGGGAATAAACAGATGGCCACCTCTGGCTCCAAGAGTCTTTCTCAGATAAGGGGGAGAGTTCCACGTGGGTGTTTATATAATTGAAGGGCCTTTGAGACAGCTATTCAGAGGGAAAAGGGGGTCGTTTGAAGCCCAGTGTCCCTCGTTTGCTAAGAAAGGGGACCCTCCCAAATCTGTTCTCTTCCTATGAGCTCCTTTCTAGTTCGACCACATGAAGGCTACTGACCTTAACTTTTTATTTCATGTTATTTTTTTGTGAATCCTCACCCAAGGATATTTAAAAAAAATTTTTTTCTTTATTGATTTGAGAGAGAGAGGCAGGGAGAGAGAGACAGAAGCATTGATGAGAGAGAACATCAACTGGCTGCCTCCTGCACGCCCCTCACTGGGGATCAGCCCACAACCTGGGCATGTGTCCTGACCGGGAATCGAACCCGTGACCTCTTGGTGCAGGGTCGACGCTCAACCACTGAGCCACACTGGCCGGGCCCCAATGATATTTTCCCATTGAATTTTAGCGTGGAAGGGAGGGTGGGGGGAGGGAGGTAGAAACACCGGTGTGAGAGAGACACATCGATTGGTTGCTTCCCGCACAACCCTGACCGGGGCCGGGGATCAGATTTGTAACCCAGGTACATGCCTTTCACTGGGAATTGAAGCCAAAACCCTTGGTCCACAGGCTGATGCTCTCACCACTGAGCAAACTGGCCAGGACCTGATCTGAAGTATTGTCATAAGGGATGATCCTACTCACCCTTTCACCACAGAAAAGTGAGTCTAGACATTTAAAATCAAATTTCCTCAGCGTGTCTTTGTCCTCACAGGAGGTGTAGACCTGTAGAACGGGGTACGGTATGTTGAGGGACAGGTGATCATGCTGAAGTCCTCCAGGACTTTCCCCCTCAACATTGTAGCTGACAGTATGTGGGGCAGGTCCCCAGAAGCCAGGGGTCTTGAGTCGTTGAAGTGCAGCATGTAAGACAACGGGGACATCGACGCCAGCAGGTGAATGGGTGACATAGTGCCTACAGGCTACCTCCGATCATCGACACGTAAAACCTTCCTCAGGGATACAGGCCAGAGCATCCCGCTACCGGAGGGCTTCCTCCCTCCCCTCCCCCTCCTCCTCCTCCTCTCTCCCTCCCTCCATGGACCAGACCTAGAGAGACATCATTGACACACTGTAGAAGTCACCCATTTAAAGTGCATATTAGCCCTGGCCGGTTGCTCAGCGGTGAGAGCGTCGGCCCACGGACCAGAGAGTCCCGGGTTCGGTTCCCACTAAGGGCATGTACCTCGGTTGCAGTTTGTCCCCGGCCCCGGTTGGGGTCGTGCGTATGGCAGCCACTCGATGAATCTTTCTCACGTTGATGTTTCTCTCTTTCCCTTCCTCCCTTTCTCCCTCTCGCTCTATCTGAAGATAAATGCAAAAATGTCCTCGGGTGAGGATAAAAATTAAAAAGTGTACATTAAATTATTTGCGATTATTAATGAAGTGACGAGCATCCATTTAGGAACATTTTTCTCGCCCCAGAATAAACCTCCATGGCTTCTCCTTGCCTTAGATCATCACTAATCTGGTGCCTGTCTCTACAGACTTGCGTTCCCCAGACATTCTTGTCGAAGGGATCGTATGACATGTGCTGTTTTGTGAACAGCTTCCTCTGCTTTGAGCTCAATGTTTTCGAGGTCCATCTACGTTGTGGCATTGAACAGTTCCTCATTCTCTTGAAACAGGTAAGTAAGCCAGGGTAAATGGGATAGGGGAACTGAGACAGGTACTTAAATGTCCAGAAAGAACCCAGCCAGTGTGGCTCCGTGGGTTGAGCGTCAACCCTGCACCAAGAGGTCGCCGGTTTGATTCCCCATCAGGCACACACCTGGCTTGTGGGCCCGATCCCCAGTGGGGGGCATGCAGGACACGGCCCATCAATGTTCTCTCTCATCAACGTTTCTATCTCTCCCTTCCTCTCTCTCTAATCAATAAAGACAAAAAAAAAGAACGCACACACTACTGGGGGCTTCTAGTGACACTTTTACTGCTGAATTATCTCCCATTGTTCGTTTACGCTCTGCCTACCATTTATCGTTGATGGACATTTGCATTGTTTTTAGTTTTAGCTATTATGAATAATATGCACATTATCATTATTATTATTTTAATCCTCAGCCAAGGCTATTTTTACATTTATCATCAGATAGAGTGGGACGGAGGGAGGGAGAGGGAGAGAGAAACATCGACTGGTTGCCTCCCGCACGACCCGACCAGGGCTGGGGATGAACGGCAACCGAGGTCAGTGCCCTTGACCGGAATCGAACCCGCGACTCCTTGGGCCACAGGCCGATGCTCTAACCGCTGAGCCAAACTGGCCAGGACATAATATGCACATCGCTATTCACAATAGCTAAATATAGTATGACATCTTCACATACCGTGAAGAACCCGGTTGATGTAGTCACTCTCCAAGGGCAGGGTAGACAACTAACCAAAATTTGGTTGGATGATGGCCACATCCGCACCATGAAGATATAAGGTCAGTTATAAACAGGACTTATTTCTGGGCTCTCAGTTCCGTCCCACGGATTTACGTGATCATCCTTTGCCGGTCCCTCGTGGCCCTGGTGACTGTGGCTGTCATCATTTCTGAGGTCATGACCCCGACTCATTTGCAAGTCCTCCAAACTAGTTCTTTCCTTTTCAAGCTTATCTTTGCTCTTGATGCGTCTGTAAGTTCACGTGGGAACTTTAGAATTAGATGGTCCGCTGCTGCAACACTCCACAGCTGGGATCTTGCTAGCGCCCGTGTCGAATCTGCGGATCAACCTGGGGAGCGCTGTCAGTTTGGATGAACCCCTCCGAGCTCTGAAGGCAGGGCCTTCCCCTGCTGGCTCGAGAAATGCCTGCCCCTTCGCTGTTACGCCCCCCGCGCTGGCTCCACCAAGTGCCTGCTTATTGATCCATTGTCGTTGACAACGCCAGGGACACAGGTAGCTCCATGGTCTGATCCAGTTAAATGTGGGCCCTCTCTCAAGAGTAGCTCTCGTGTGTCTGGGTCTACCGTATTCCTCAGACTGTTATGTTCATTATATTCCGTATATAAGTGAGATCATGTGGTATTTGTCTTTTTCTGCTTGGCTTCTTTCACTTAGGATAATACTTTCCAGGTCCCTCCATGTCGGCTCAAAGGATAAGAGATCTTTCTTTCTTACCGCTGCATAGTACTCCACTGTGTATATGTACCACTGCTTTTTTATCCATCCGTCTACTGGTGGACACTTGGGCTGTTTCCAGATCTTAGCTATTGTAAATAGTAGGGCACAGACTGACATCCCTCAGAAGAGGGGGTGGGGGGGTGGGAAGAGATAAACCACAGAACTTATATGCATGTATGCATGACCAATGGACATGGACAACTAAGCCGGGGACAGGGTGGAGGGGGGGTGGGGTGGGGGGTGTCAATGGGGTAAAAAGGTAAAATATCTGTAACAAAAAAATAAATAAAAATTCATAAAAAATAAATAAATAAATAAATAGATAGGAAAAAAAAAAAAGAGTAGCTCTCGGCCCGTCTTTGTGATTTGCCTCGTTCCCGGGAGGGCTCTCCTGAGCCACCTCTTTCTGTGGTCCTGTCTGTAAACCGACTGGCCTGTGATGTCACTTGCTCTGAGGGAGCGACCTGCCTTTTCCAGCCGGTACCACCCCATCCTGATGGTCCCTGAGAGCACTTGGCCTTGAGCCTTCCCACCCTGTTCGCTCCTCACCCTGCAGGGGCTTTAGACGCTGCATTTGTGTTGCCTGCCTGCCCCCTGGGGGCATTTCTGAGCCCCCTGGCCTGCTTTTGAGTTGAGTGCCGGCGGGGTGACAGCCTCTGGTCCTCTCAGCTGGCTGTTCCTGAACCCCAATAGTAAAGTCTGGGTGCCTGCACGCTCTGGCCAAAACATGCGTGAAGAGGGCTTTGCAGTTAAAATAGGAGTTCGTTTATTAGAACTGGCCGACCCAGAGACGGAAGACCCGAGTTTCTGATCACATGGAGGTTAAAATGTTTTACTGTAAAGTCACCAGACAGGTGGGTCGGGGTTCAGGGTCGTGTCAGGAGCTGCCCGGTCCAGAAGAGGGTAACAAATCATCTCCCCACGTTTTGGGGCCAACCCCAAGGTCAGCTCCGGAGACCAGAACTGGTTTCGGGGAGAGGTAGTCAGGGGGTCGTCCCAACTTAGGGCTCAGGAGCTGAAACATAATTTCGACCAAGATGTTATCTCTGGCCTGCTAGGAGCTTAAACCTTGGGACCGAGTCCAAAGGGGCCCTTGTCTCTGCTGCCTCAGGGGTTAGCCGTGGGGTTAGCCGTGGGGTCAGCCGTCAGAGCTCAGGTCCGGTGTGTGAAGGGTCTGAGGGAGAGAAGGACACGGTGACTGTCCTACCGTTTAAATCAGATCAAGTACGAGGACCTTTTGTTCCATCACCGTTCCGGACGGGGACCGTCTACCTGTGAGCCAGCTGGGGTCCCGGCCTGCCACACGGGGGGACCTTCTGCCCTCAGAGTGGAAGCTGGGTGGACTTTCCGGGGGGGGGAGCTCTCACAGGGAGTCCAGCCTCGGTGCCAGAGAGCTCTGCCAGGGACGAGAAAGGCCCTCGACCTCGCTCTCCCGAGGAGACACTGACGACTCTGTGAGCTGGAAAGAGGCCCTCTCTTCTCCACCACCCCTGTGGACAAGTGGAAAGGGGTTCGAGGAAAGTCACCTTGCTGGAGGCGGCGGGAACAGCACCAGGTGTTAGACCCGTGGGGTCACCCCGGTCCTGGGCTCAGCATCCCCCATACTTGAGTTCTGGCTAGGAAAGAGTTCAGAGCCAAGACCCAAATTATAAGTGCACATGTATTTGGAAAATCACAGAGGTAGAAGGAATCGTTTGCAGAAGATATGGGCTTCG